GAAGATGCCGCGCTGATAACGACGAATTGATAGTTTCTGCTTAGAGCTGATTCGAAAGCTAAAAATTTATTGGTTCTTGTTCCTTAGTCGCCCCTATTTGTGAGACATTTTTTGGCTTTGAGGATCGAAACAAGATATTTTTCCATTCAAACAATTGACATAAGCTTTCCTCATCCAAAATGATAAGTTCACGAGGTTTTTTTAAAATTATATTAATAATAATCGATCAAATTTGAAAATATTAAAAATCTTATCCGTTGATTTTTCAACTATGAACTTGCCGACTTCCATTTTATCCACGGTGTTAAAAAATTGTTGCAACATATTTGTGGGAACATTTTGAATCGTCATTACTTTTAATTTTTAGATTGCCCACATGATGCATGCAATATTTTCATTTACAAAAGTCATGTTTCATACTCGAAGAACATGCCCATAGCCCAAGCAAGCATTTGAATCAAGTCCCCGTGTAACAGTACTTATCTTATAAATTAATTAGACACAACACGTTGGCACTCCTTGAAGATGAAGAACAAGCTCAATGGACATCATTGTAGACGTTTAAATTGTGTTCTTGTGCTGCTTATAATTAGATTTATGAGAAACTAATTATGAATTATATCTTTCTGTTGTTTTTCGTAAATCATGTTAATTTTTATAAAAAATTTTTTTAAAGTTATTTCATTGCAAATGCAAAAATTAGTTGTCCTTAGCCGTTAATACAAAGAAGTGTAGAGTTGTACGCAACACATGTGTCGGCTCAGATCACACTGAATATTAAAGCAAAGGTACCAGCGTGAATAATGGCAGCCCATAAAACGTAATAAACCAAAATATCTTTCCTAGTTTAGTAGTTGAAGCCGCCTAGAGCAAGTCACTCTCGCCCCATTACTGAGCACAATTTCAACATATTGCACGCGTTACGACATTATCAGCATTGGACTCACGTTCTTTGTCATCATTAAAATAAAACATCCAACCACAACGCTCTGAGTACCAATGAAAATATTTTGGCTCCATTTACGAACCACACTCACATCAACAACTTCCGGCTGTCAGCGTTGCTGTCCGTGATGTTGTCTGTGTGTTTGTCTGTGCGGCGGTTTGTGTGGTTGTCTGTGTGTTTGTGTGTGTGTGTGTTTATGGGGTTGCTTTTGTGTTTAGTTATGTGCTTGTTTGTGTGTTTGTTCGTGTGGCTGTCTGTGTGGTTGTTTGCGTGGGTGTTAGTGCGTTCCGCTGTGCTGTTGTTTGTAATGTCGTTGTTGTTTGTGGGGTTCTCCACCAACTGCAATCAGGAATCTGACATGACAACATTGAACATCAGACTGACAAAACGTCAATAATCTTTATCGCGAAAAATTCATCCAATCATTGAAGATAATGATTGGAAGCCTAGTATGCATCGTCATTTTCCTTAACTCAAAAATTCCAAATTTACAATCCGCATATTGTGATACAATAATTTTTTTAAAATTAAACATTAAAAATATTTTTATTCAATTGAACTATTAGCAAACAACTATTTTCAAGTTATTTTTAATATTATTTTAAGCATTTTTAATTAAAAATATGTCATAAAAACCAAAGAACGCAACAACGCAATTCGATCAACTTTTCATCTTCCTCTCTCTTACCTCCAAATCGTCTTAAAGAATGGTTAATAATATATAAGCTGATGAAACATTCACTGCTTCCACCACCAAGTAAATCGTCTGATGTCATAAAGATAAACGCTTCAACCACCACCACCAGCCGTTTCTGATTCTTTATTTCATTGTCTCCTTTGCATCCATGTCTTAAAACATCTTGCTGTATGCGTCCAAGCTATTTTTAATAAAATATTATCAAAATATTCTAAACTAGTTAGACAAAATTACTTTTTTTTTAGAGAAAGCTCATTTTAAACTGATGTTGATATATTATTGTTGTTGTTGATTTGTTGATGTTACTGATGCAATTTTTTTTTCTTCATAACGTCGTCGTTTGAGTTATTTTGGTCATTTCCGTTTTTGCTGTTGTATTACGTTGTCGTTGTTGTGTTGTTGTTGTTGTTGGACAGATGTCGTAAGCGGGTTGATATTTGTGGCGGTAATTTTTATGTCGCTCTGTATGATGGAGACGCAATGAAGCGAATGACTCTCCGCTTTCCATCTTTTATTCTTTTTTTTTGTTTTTGTTTTCCCACTCTCTAAATTTCAATAACATTTTCTACTCAACAGTTCAAAAATTGTTGAAAGTTGCCTAATAAGAAATGCATGTTGAGTGTATCAATCTCTGTGGACAGCTGGCTGTACAATAAGATAATTTTTTTCCACATCAGTGCATGCGCGATTGAATGGATGTTATCAATGCTCTTATAAACTCTGGCAGTGTAATTCAGTTTGTATTGGATTTAGTATAGCATTGCCGACACATAAATGTGACCATCCGTTGACTGTCTGTCTCGTTTTAAGTCGAGTGGAGCGCTAGCGAGCCTGTATTTATGAGTGCTACAAATCTCTTTTAACTGTCACAGCCTAATCTTTTTTAACTTTAAATTTAATATTGTTCTGAAAACTTTTTGAACAACAATTTTTACATTTCTTTTTGCCAATAGATTTATGAAATGTTTTTAATTAAGTTATTTGAACATTTTCAACAGGGTATCAGTTTTTCTTGTCGCATTCATCGGTCCAGATGAATAATTGAATTTAGCATTTTGGCTCAAAATATTTAAATTATTTTACTTACTATATATATGAATATATTTAACCATAGACAATGTTCAGTTATGGATAATCAAAATCTCTGTTTTCCATTTTTGCTTGGGTCTGCGACAAAAATTTGTTACCAGTATTACCTGTCTATTATTATATATATAAATGCGTCTGATTTGTTGAAAAAGACAAACACAAAGGTTTAGAACCAATTATTCTACGTGAACTTTAAAATTATGTTTACAAAATTAGTATATTGTAAATAGGTTTATTGCTAATTATGTTAGAAACATGAAGAAGTTGACGATTACGTTCTCTGAAAAGAAACAAATCTTTAAAAATATGCCAAATGAAATAAAAATATATCTAACGTATATTTAGTATCTTTGTAGCTTAATGCGTAGACGCATGAACTCTTTCTTATCTGTTATTTGTCTATGCAGTTGTGCGATGGCGGTTGTAGTTGAGATTGTCGTTGTTGTGTATGTTCTTGTTGTTGTCGTATATGTTGTTAGTGTTGAGTTTGTCATTGCTGTTTTGGTTGTTGTTTTCGTTGTAGCTGTTGTTTTTGTTTATGTTGCTATTTTGTGTATGTTGTCGTTGAATTGTTTTGGTTATTGTTGTATGTTGTTTTTATAAATTTTTATTGTCGTCATTGTTGTGAGGTTGCATATGCAAATGCTGAGTTAATGTGTTTGTATATGCTGATTTTGTTGTGCAGTTGTTGTTGTTATGGCTGCAATAAGGCACGTTGTTCCACACTGCTCTTGTGTATAATTAGTGCTGGTTATAGTAAAAATGCTGTTCTTTTGTTGAGGATTTTGCTTGTCTGCAACAAAACCTCGTAAAATGTTTTAAACTTTTACAAATGGTTTTAATGATAAACTGGCTAGATAAAAAAGTTGCAACATGAAAAAAGAGGTTCAACAAAGGTTCAACCATGGTTCAACCATAAAAATAAGTCATCCATTCTATTGCATCCATCCACATCTACATACAAACATGCCTTCCACATAGAAGTTGTTTCCAAAAGAGAGTTGCATTGGAGCATATGTATACTACACATAGCATACACAGAAGCATACACACACACACACACACACACACACACACACACACACACACACACACACACACACACACACACACACACTGAGGAATTATATTTTTTTATTAAGTTTGATGGAATTGGACCAGGCTGCCAGTGTTGAAATGATGAATTGCTGAATGGTGCAATAGTTTATTTATTTTCATTTTTTTAAAACAATTCTTATTGAACTTGTATGTGTAACAAAACTTGATGAGGTAGTAATTAATTGAATTGCTTTCAAAAAATTGCGTAAAATTTTACAAATTCTATCTAATTGACAATAAAAAAAACATAAAAACAGACGTCACTAGCAGCAGCAGCAGCAGTAGCAGCTGGCAACAAAACGAGAGAACGCGCTATCGACGTGCATGCGGTGGTAGTCATGGCGACAGGTAAACATCTCGTCTGCTCGTCTGCCGCATTCTTCTCGCTTCTTTCTTCGAAAAATTTATTCGCGCTGTTTTCGGCACACAGACCGGTTATTCAAATTATATTTTACGTGAAGGCAAATTACGTTTTATTACTCACATGTTGTGCCTAATATCATGCTAATATCATCTTTTGAATAAATTCATGCAAGATGTTTCGCGGTTTCAGTTGTCGTCATTTTTCATTTAATATTTAGCTCTTTACAATATATCTAATTACTATTTGTTATTAAATATTTATTTATATACCATTTATTTAATTATTTGCTATTTATTTTTTGCCAATCAATTTTTGATTCGTTGGCTCTCAAGATTGTTTAAATCACATTTTGACGGAAACATAGTTCGTAATGGTATTATATTTTTTGTTAAAATATGGAAATAAGCTGCCGATCTATTTATTTTGAACAAAACCAAGGAAAGCAAAACATTTGAAAAAAATTCATATTTTTATATACTTTTATTGCAAGAATTTGTACGGGTATCTAAATTATTCATGAAGCAAGAATGAAAAAAATGTTTTTGCAATCAATTCTTCATCTTACCTAAAGCTAAAAAGGAGAAACTTTTGATAAAATTAGCAACAAAAGTAGTGAGTGCTATATACTACATAAATATACATAGTAATATAGTACATATATATATATATATATATATATTATAGTATATATATATATTATAGATATATAAAGTAATTTTAATAAAAATACTGATTAAAAGTAATTGATTGCAGCAAGCATGCTATAAAATTTTCACGCTCCAGCGAAATCATTACATGTGAATGGTTCACGGCTGGAGTATTAATAAGAAGGAAAGATCATTCGATCCATCAAACTTCATCACGTCACTTTTAATATAGGACTGCAAGTGTGAACCTTATAATTTTTATAAACAAATAGTGGTGGGTGAAACGATAACAACAACGTCACAACTCCATATAGTGATAATATTGGGGTTTAAGTTAAACCAATAAACAACAATTATATTTATAAAGGTAACAGTTGCAACATAACAACCACATCCAACATGACAACAACGTCAACTAGATCATTAACAACCAAAACAACAACAGCAACAACCACAATAACAACAGCAACAACAACAGCTACAACTACAACAACGACGATACCTATAACCATGCAAAATGTGTGCTACGTGGTTTCAAGCGTATTGACGTATGCTATTAAGAAAGAAGGAATGACCTTTATCTTTCAACAACATGAAAAACAGCAGTGACATAATTAACAAGAGCAATGACATGAACTCTGACCTACCTGTGTCGGCGACGTACAGCAGAGCCACGTGGAACCAGCGGAAGTGGTTGAGTAGATCAATGAGGAAGAGCGAGAGTCCACGTGTATTCGGTCTCGTCGAGATTAAGTTGTACGCCTTGCTGTGGCTCTCGTACACCTGCTGGGTTTGTAAATATCGTTGCACTTTCAATCGCTGTTGTTGGTCTTGCTGAGGTTGGCGATGTTGGGATGCCTTCAATGTTGGCGAGTTTTGTGGGTTTTGTAAGGGGTCGCTCTTCACGAGCGGGTTTCTCACGATGAAGTAAGGGGTCCCGTACTTGAGGGAGGCCACGACGAAAGGTGGAGAATATGGACCGATGAGAGCCAGCTTGTTGTTGTTGCCTACGGACATGTGGGCTAGTGGAGGTAGTGAACATTTCAACAAATATTTTTAGTGTTATTGCAGTTTGATTGAAATTTATTTCATCTACTGGAACGTTACTAAAAAAAGGAATGGAATTCCATATATTTCAAATGTTGAGAAGAAAATTTGGGTGAATGAAAAATTGTGATTGCAAACAGGCAGGCAGGACGTATATTAATTAGCCTTATTTGTGGGAGCTGAAAAGATCATGTGACCAGATATTCCGTTTTTCCTAATCAAATATTTTGCTTAGAACATTTTCGCGTACTTCTTTTAACCCAGAACTCTGTTAACAAATTTGGTTTCATAGCAAAATAATGTAAATAAATCAAAATCTTAAACTTATCTAAGTTGAACTTTATGAAAAATAATTTATTACCAACAAGTTTATCAAAAAGATTTGAAATAATTTTTACGTGTGAGTTAAATTTTTGTTCAAAAACATACGGTTTACAGTAATCGAATAAATTTTTTGAAAAACCGTCTAAAAATTTATCTATTGAAGGCCAGCCACTTTTGGTTAAATTAATTAAAAGAGTTGAAATTTATTACTTTGTTTTAAAATAAAATTAAATAAATTTTTAAAAACTTGCAAATGAACGGCTTTTCAATTTATGTTCTATTGTTGGAATTTCGTATCTGAAATTTCAGCAAATCTCAGCATAGTAGGCATGCACCAAACATTTTATTCCTACTGTGTGACGTTTTTAATTTAAAAAACCTAAAAACGATTCGTGCCATGCCAAACATTTTTTTTTTGGAGTAACAAAAGAGATTTTTAATAATTTTAAAATACAAATTATTTTCATTCTTTCATTTTTTTAATTAAAACTGCAAATGGAAAGATGAATGAATGATGATTGAATAATTGATGCCTGACAAAATTTCAACGTTGAATGAAATATTTTATACAAAAGTTCATTAAATTAGTTGATCTATTCATTTTGACTATTTATTTTAAAAATTCTAACTAGAAAATGCAATGGTTTCAAATTTTAAAACTAGTAATTTTCACATTTTAGTGTTGATACGTATAATGCAGTGAACCACAGAATGCAAAACAAAACGAAAGACTGTGCAAGACAAGCAAAACAAAACTTATTTTGTAGCGACAAAAAATAAATTCTAAAAGTGTAGATACATCAATTGAGACAGGCCGAGCATTTAGAACGTGACATTGAATGAGTATTTGCATCAATAACCACATTAACTTGAGTATATTAATCTCTTTATCGCCCTGTCCTAACAACTTATTGATCAAATTTTTCATAAAGGCGCTCGATCTCTTACTGCTAAACATACCTAGGAAGTCTAGGCAAGGATATATAAGAACATCGATACAACAACAACAACAAAACATCAACAATACATATTTATTTAATGTCACAAAGTTACATCAACACATTATCAAAATCAATACAGCTCAAAAATTAGCACAAAACATAAGGATAATACAAAACGTTGTAGTAGTAGTAGTAGTAGTAGTAGTAGTAGTAGCAGTAATAGCAGCAGCAGCAATAGTAGTAGTAGTTGTTGTTGTTTTTGTAGCAGCATTAGTAGTAAAAGTGGTAGTAGTTGTTGTAATACTAGAAGTATAGTACTACAATTGAATAACTTTGAATAGGACAATTGAAAATTAATTTATGAAGGCATTCAACTGAAGCAACAAACCAGTCATGAGAGAATTCATTCCGAGCCTGAAGACATGAGGACAGGATTCGACCACCATCTCAACCTCGTACATGTTCATCTTCCTCTTCATCTCCACCCACAGCCTCTGCACCACCTCAGATAACAACTCCTCATCTTCCGTGTCGTCTATCACACCTTCAGTTTTTGAATGGATAAAAAAAATTAGGTGTGACGGGATGGTGCAATGGTTAGAAGCGCCTGGTTCTGTTGTTGTAATTACCGGGTTTGAATGCAAAGAGATCCCCACCAATTATTTATGCAATGGACGTGATGCTTAGAATGACGCGTATTCACATGCTCTACGTGTGCCTGTTCTCATTTCTTCTAAATTTTAAATCAGAGAAACAATAATAATAATAACAATAAAGGTCAAATAAGAGAAACAACAACAAAAAATAATAATAATAAAGGTCAAATATGAAAAATAATAATAATAATAATAGTAGTAAAGGTTAAATAAGGAAAACGTTAATAATGAGGAATGATAATAAAGGTACGGATTTGAAATTTAAATTCGTTAATTCATTTTTATTTGTTTTGAATTCTGAAAATGACTTTTTAATATATGGTAATAGTAAAATTTTACAAGAGCAGTATAAACACAAAAAACAAAGAAAATGTAATCGTGATAAAAAAATACCATGAGAGAAGAAAATGTGATCTCATACGTCATCAAAAACAAGTGAAAAAATAATAGAGGATGATTATTATCGTTAGGTTGCATTGATAAATAAATAATGGTAATGATGACTATGATGGAGAAGATGGCCATGATGATGACGTTGCTGACAAATGCTTCTGCTGATGATAATGATGATAATGATAAATACTGATGATAATCGTAAATGATGATGATGATGTTAACATAGATGCTGATGATGATAAAATAGATGATGATGATGATTATGATAGTGATGATGATAATATAGGTGATGACGATGATGATGAAGATGATAAACATTCAGGTTGATGACTGTCGTTATAAGAATAAAAATAAAAGCGTGATTACGATGATGATAACAATATGATGAATACAATGATGATGTCTTCCATGATGATGAAGACGATGACGACGATGATAATAATAGTGAAGCTGGTGGTGGTGGCAATGAAAATGATGATGATGACTATGATGATGATGATAAGTACCAAAACCGGAGGAGGCAATTTTTTTATTTTTTCTCAATTGTGCGCGTAGATAATGGTGCAAATTGATCTATGTATAGCATGAGCGAGCTGAATATGTCGTGTGCTAGCGAGCAGGCAAGTACAACAATAACAGTGTAATCAACAACAACAACAGCAACTGCAGCAACAACAACAACAACAACAATAACAGTGTAATCAACAACAGTGCAACAACATCAACAACAACAACAGTGTAATCAACAGCATCAACAACAACTACAACAACAACAATGTAATCAACAACAACAACAACTACAACAACAATATAATCAACAACAAAGACAACAAAAAAGACAACAACAACAGCAACAGCCAAAATAGCAACATGAAATAGATGGAAAAACATTTATTTTTTTAACACGCAATGTGTAGATAACCATTTATAAATAAAAATCGACATCAATAACATCAACAACATCATTAACATAAACAAATCAACAAAGTTAACAACATCATTAGATATTATATATATATATATATATTAGATATATATATATATTATATATTAGATATATATTATATATACATTGACAAATGAACAATTTAAAAAATATATATATATAAAAAAGATCAAATGAATTAAAGCACTTAAACATATATTTGAAGCATTGTCCGCTTGAAAAAAAACTTGAAAAAAATTTGAAAATTTTTGCAGAATATTATCGTGAGCGAAAAGAAAAGATGAAACGGAGAGATAGAAAAAGAGAATAGAGAAATAGAGAATAGAGAGAAAAGTGAATGAAGGAGAGAGAGTGAAAGAATGAATGAAAAAAAAGAGAGAGTGAGCGAAGAAGACGAGATAATGAAATTTAAAACAAGAAAATAGAGCGGAAAGAAAGCATTGTGTAAATTATAGAGAATTTAAATGTGATATGTATCTTCGGATAACTCACGTCCATCTGGCATTGTTCCCTTATTTATAAGTCTCATAATTAAATCCTGTAAATTCTTCTCGACAAGAATGCGCCTTCCTACATGTGCAATGTCTGCTTGTCTGTTTTTTTAGGCTTGTTTAAAAATTCTTGAGCTGTGTGTCTACTCCGATGTGAGTTGTTATAAATACTTCTGCAGTTATAAAAACTTCTGCAGTTCTTTGGCTTGAAACTATTTTTCAAAATCTTCATCAAACCTCAAATTGTTTTAATGGGACAACAACGTTTTTATTTGCATTCGCTAACCCCTCTATAGTTAATCACGGCCAATCTTAGCGAGCCGAGCCCACGTTTGAATCTATAACATAATATAATACAGGCCATGCAGGCAGTTCTGGCGATCATCTTATGACATATTTACTTTTCCACAGCTTGAAACGATTTATTCATTTTACATTTTGCAAATTCATTTCAGCAAAACATCTCATGAAGATAGTTTCAGACTGCTTCTGTATTTTGATTTGCATGAACGCTTGGAAGGCAACAAAGTAACTGAACCATTAAAATAAACGACGTAGAAATTATTTGAAAACAATTGTAGATTCTCATTGGAATCAACTTGAATGGAATTTTTTTTACGAAATAACGTACAAATATTTTATAAAAACAAATTCGTAATAATTTTCACTGAAAAAGAAACTTGTTGTAGCACAAAATGAGCTTCGTTTGCAAGTGGTCATCATTTATTTATTTCGCTGCCTTTGTGAGTGATAATATGCTCCAAAGCGCTAAACAATCATCCATCTTTCCACCATCCATTTACCCTTCCATCATTCTACCATCCATCCATCCATCTTACAACTATCCATCCATATTTCAACCGTTCATTCATTCATCTTTCTGCTGTCCATTCATTTTGCAACTATCAACCCATCTCTCAATTATCAATTTTTTTACTATCATCTATTTACCTATCCATTTATTTGTGAATTTTCTATTTATTTAATTTTCAACAATCTATCTATTTTTAACCAATCATCATTGTTTGCATGTTGTCTATATGTTGTCTGTATGAGGCTTGTATATTGTTTTTTGTCTGTTTGTTGCCTGCCTGAATTTAAATTATCGGCATTACAAAACTGAACAAAATATATTTTTTTTGTAAAGAAAATATAATTATCTAGTATCTAGTATAAACAAATTAAATGTAACACATTCTGTAATAAGAAAAAATAT